AATAAACTCAATTGGAAACAGAGAGCCACCCAAAACAGCTGAGATAAAGGATTGTAGAAAACTCTATGAGCTGCTGAGAGAGAAAAACAAAACAGTGGTCCTACAATGGATTCCTGGTCACTGTGGCATTAAAGGCAATGAGCTTGCTGACACACTTGCTAAGGAGGGGACAAAGATTTTGCAATGCATGGACCGCCCGATGTCTTTCCATACAATGAAGGCCTTAATCAGGAGAGAATTCAAGACCTCAAGGTACAACGAACTTAAAGCTCGAACAAAGGAGAAACAGTGGACAGTGGCACTCTCCGACATAACCGACTGGACAAGAATCGAAGCCGTTGCTGAGTATAAACTACGTACCGGACACGATTGCTTGCCAAAACCTTCATAGATTGGGAGCATACACTCAACCCACATGCCCCCTATGTAACCTGCAGGAGGAAATGGAGAAGACCCACCTGATTCGGTGTCCAGCTCTAAAGACAACGAAGGAAAGCCAGAGATACTGGGAAGAAAGAAGAAAGCTAATGAACTGCTATAAATGTACCCCCCACCCACCCTTGGGGAAAGCTGAAGTCAAGTTTTAAGGGCCATTTGAAATAAATGTTTTAGATATCGCATACAAAACTTGGATCATCCAAGTTGCAACAAAATACCTCGTTTTAAAGACCATTAAAATGAACAAAGTTTGAAAAAGTTAGTAGAAATCATGCATTCAAATAAACACTTGGGATAAGATCATGACTAAATGGGACATAAATCGATTTCTAATTGTTTTGAACGAGCAAAAGATAATACATCACTCCCACTTCCTTGTTCAGTTATGGCCTGATCTGAATCCCCACATGTAAGCTAACCATCGATCGAAGAAGAGGTTCCAAGTGCTCGCATATTGGGGAGCAATAACATTTGCCATTTGGAATAACTGCTGAAGATGTACTCGGTGATATTGCCATCGAGCTCTATTTGGTCCCCCTTTGAGTAGAGCTTGCAAATTTTGATCACCTACATTCACTCTACCCTTCTCCATACGCAATCGCTCGATGTGAGGAGAGAGACGAAGAGCATGTGCAGGATTAAGATGCCTCAAGTCATAAAAGGATCCAAACCCACTATCGAAGAGTGGTAATACACGGGCCAAAGTCTCTACTCCTTCCGTCAATAATTCAGTTGCTATTGAGCCATTTTCATAGCCAACTGGACTAGCCTTGAAATTTCACGAATAAGAGTAAATGAATACTTGAGAGTCAACACTAACAATATAAAAGCAGTGTACTCACTTTGCTCAGATCATGAAGTCCAATTAGGGAGAATATGAAGCCATTAAGAACAAAGACACTCGGAACCGCAGGATATTCTTCATACCATGGTAAAGTTTTCTGATCCAAAAAATAGGCACGGACACCACAATTACCGCTTTTAGGAGTAACTGGACGAGAAAATGGCCCCAGGGCTCGAGCAGCAGCTGCTTGAAAACGGGGATCATTTGTTAGATTTGCTGCACGAACTAATAGGGAGATGGCCTGACCTACATACATTTGTCAATAGCAAAAAAATCCAAAATTAGAAACGAAGTCGTCATTCACCACAAACTATTTCCAATTAAGAATCTTCATGGTTAAAGCGAAGAAACACACATCGGTTCAAGTTAATCTAGTAGACGAAAACTCACCCTGACCCATTGCTGAGCACCAGCCTGGTTTGAGGTAGATGTCAGAAGTAAAAACACGTTTAGCTTTGACTCGCCAAGAGCCATCTTCTTGTTGATTTTCCACAAACCATTCTGCCGCTGACAAAAATCTCCTTCTAGCGAATTCTTTGTTTGCGATCAAGTGTTGGTCGGCATAAGCGCCATTCTGATCATTTGCGATAGGAATGAATAAAAGGAGGTCATTCAACTGACCCAATGATCGAGCTTCTTTCCCAACTTGGAACTCAACTTCATTGACAACAAATCTAGAAATAGGGAATGAGTAAGCCCATTTATCCATTGCAAGACTACTTTTCGTCGATTTCAGAGCCAAAAAGAAAACCTCTAAAGAGTGATTTGGCTCGAAGATCCTGTTTGACACTAGCGACGGCCTTTGTGATGATCATGTCAAGGTTTTGTAAAAGGGTGACATTTTGGCATTGCTTTAAGAAGTAGACAACCTTCAAGGCTGATAACTCATTAAATCCTAACGACCAATACCTGTTTGACTAAAGTAAAAGTAGAGTTAAACTAAGGAAGAATAAAATTTACCAAAATAACTGCGCCATCTCCGAATAAATTGGAGCAAGTGAAATGGGTTTCAATTTGACGTAATGAAGAGAGGAAAGACATACGGAAAATTAGACGAGAATCTTTTGACCAATTTAAACCACTTGCAATTAAACCAGTCAGCTTTGCATTTGTATTCTTCAAATTATATATCAAAGACGTAGTTTCCTCAACTATAATTCAGTTACACCTAAACAATTTTAAACATACCAAATAAGCAAACATTGTTCAGAGCATCACATTTCATTTGTTTACTGAAGTGAGATTTTATATCAACGACTGCTGTTGAGGACTTCCTATTTAAAATGCCTTTGAAGTTTCGAAGTTTACTAAAATAAGAGTAATAAGCCAGACCATATTGGGCTATTTGAACCGGATAGGGATGACCCTTGGAATCCCATTGTCGAGATATAGGTACATCTGGTAAGAAACGGAAACAAGGTAAACCGTCTCAGTTTCTTACAATAAATGCAAAAATAGCAATGAAAAAACTCACTATTATCGGGATCAATTAAAAGAACGTGAGATTTTACTTCGGGTTCAGAAAAAATCGACTGCCCCATGTAATCACCTAAAGGGCTGTGTTCCTTGAGATTATGTGGGGAAAAAGATTGGTAATTAAAATGAGAAATCTCGAGAATATCTCCAGCAGAATTAAGAACACTGTCAACCTAGAAAGAAGTTTAGTAACGATACGAATCCAGTTGTAAACAAACCTCGAACCAGGATGTGAGATATTTAGTATCAACTGCAAGCGATAAGTTGTTAATTTGAAAGCATCCAGAAGTAATATATCCGTTAATTGAGCAGTTTAAACTTTTAAAAGAGCAACTAGAATTCACTTCGAGACTATCTGTTGCATAATTAGGTGTAGTCCTAGAAAAACAGGAACAGCACGAGATTACAATAATTAATTAGCAAAAACAATAAGTTGTCAGAATAGAAAATTGTCGACACCACAAGTAAGACTACTAACCTCGATTTGCCATTAATGAATTAATAAGTCTAATTACAATCTGAACCAATGCTAAAATGTATTAGGTGAAAAGCTTACCGAAGAATGTTGAAGCGCTTTGAAGTGCCAAAATACTTAACAACAAATATAGTGAAAGCAAGAAAGAGGCAGAAGTATAAAATTCTTGTGTTCCATCTCATATTGCAATTCAGGTAATAACTGATCAAAAATATATCAAGCAAAAAGCACAAGCTATCTAGATTGGGTGGAGGAAACGTTAGAAAATTACGCAAAACAGTTACTTGCAACCAGATTTAAAGAAATCTATAGCGTTCTAAAGCATTCATATTTTGCGGGTTATGCCTTGAATTGCAAAACGTACTAGGCGACCTTAAAATTATCCTTAAGTGCAATAATTATTTTTTATTAAATAGAAATTCTTTTCTCATTGTTTTTTGAAAATATAATTATGATTTAATATAAAATACAATTAACGAAAAAGTATAAAAGAAACATGTTTATTGTTCATTTTATTTCACTGGAAATTATTTTAAAGAGTGCTAGTTGGACATTCAAATCTAGTGTAACGGAATAATCGGTTTAATAGAGGATTAGTTACCCTAAGGATGAGGTCGGTCTGGTTTTAGCGCTATTCAAGCTACCTTCACCGTTCATATGCACATTTCTGGGAATTAAAATTAGGGTTAAGTTACAAAATAAAACTTATTTTGATAAATTTTATATTGTTTTAAGTTTCCTTTTTAAACGTATTCTTTTAAAATTTTTCTATCGATTAAGCCTTTTTTGAAAAAAATGAGATTAAATTTGTCATAGCTAATGCGCGAATCGTTGTAGACACCTTTTATAATTGATTATATTTTCTCTTTTTCAGATGCCCCGGTTTTCCATGCTTTGGGTATTCGGTTCTTTTGTATCCTCACGTCTAGATCGTACTCTTGACAAACCGTCCTTTCTCTTTCATTTTCTAATTGTTTTGTTTGCATACGCCTTCCTTTTCCTTTGTCTCCGTGAAGATCCCCGCATTTCAACTACAACGACATCTGAAACCCTTAAAGCACTTGCCATCAATCACAACACCTATGAATTTCGAGCTGCTCGATTTAACAACTACATTAGTTCTGAACGCTTTCGTTCTGGTCCTGGCGAACTTGGTCGAGGGGTAGATACAGGTATTTCCGAAGAAGAAATGAAACGAGTTAACGACAAGCATGGATACAACAGTTATGCTTGTAATAAAACTGCTCTTGATCGTTCCTTGGGTCATAGGCCTGCCAAAGAGTAAGCGAATATTACTTGCCTTGAAATTGAATCCCATTTCTAGGTGTTTAGCTATAAAGTATCCTACTAACCTTCCTACTGCTAGTGTGATATTAATATTTTTCAATGAACCCTTTCGATTAATAATCCGGACTGCCTTCTCTGTTGTGAATCGAACTCCTCCAAATTACTTAAAGGAGGTTATCCTGTTAGACGATGGAAGTACTCAACGTAACCAAGTCCCTTCCCATACTTTCATTCTTTTTGCCTTATCTAGCTGACCTTCTAGATTCTATGAGCACGTATGTAAAGCAGAACTGGCCTGATGGAGTGGTACGAATAGTTCGACTTCCTGAGCGAACAGGTCTTATCAGGGCCCGTTTAGAAGGAGCCAAGGTCGCAACAGGAGATGTGCTAATCTTTCTTGATGCACATTGTGAAGTCACTTTCCGGTGGATAGAGCCTCTGCTCTATCGGATTCAACAGAAGCCGGATGCAGTTGTCTGTCCTGCCATTGCAAATATCGATCGTTTTACACTGAAGTTCTTTCGAACTGATGTTCGTTATACAGAAGATGGCTGGCTTAGTCTTCGAGTTGGATCTTTCGCTTGGGATGGAATGTATATCTTTGAACATCCACCCCGTAGATCAGTAATTAAAAGAGCAAGTAATGCTGATCCCATCGAGTCGCTAACAATGCCAGGTGGATTGTTCGCAATAAGCAGGAAATACTTCTTTGATCTCGGTGGATATGATGAAGGTATGGAGATTTGGGGTGGAGAGAACCTAGAAATATCATTCCGCATATGGCAGTGTGGAGGCAGCCTTGAATTCACTCCATGTTCGACAGTTGGTCATGTCTATCGTGTCATCCATCCATACTCTTTCCCTGGTAGGTTGGGCTTCATTATATTTGTTACCTTTTTTATGTTAATTCCACTTTTAAGCTTTATTGTATGAACTTGTCAATGATTAAAACAAGTGAGGCGGTCTTTATTGGAAAGTTTGCTACCGTATAGTGAGACTAATTTCCCGCAATAAATCTAACGCCAGTATTTTGTAATTCTGTTTTTGCTAATTTTTTTAATCGCACACTTAAGTCATCGTTTAGGCACAAGGTTAATCTTATTTATTTCCTTGTAGGGGAAGAGGCTAGTTATTTTCCAATATTGATTTACTAAATTTCTTTTTTGGTTCACTGGGATTTATTTTCGATTAACGATGTAAAGTGAAAGGAACGGCTTACAGCGGCCGGTATTACTACTTAAATTCAAAAGTCGAAGCTTTTCTTTCTGAAATCTTTCCTCAAAGTATTTTAAATCGTTGCATTCGGTTTGAGTTTAATTTTGTAAGTTCATAATCAGCCTTTTTTCCCAATCACATACTAAAGTTGCCTTAATTCGTTGGATAAACAATTACACTAGAGTGATCGTTCTTTCTGAGCTAAGGTGTTAGGTTGTAAAATTAAATTCGATCCAGGTTTAAAGAAGTAAAAAAAAATTAAACCCCTTCAAGAGAAGGGTTAGTAACCCCTGACTTTTAGGCCCAAGGAAGATATCTTGTAGCCGTTTTTTGTAGAAACTTGCAACTAGCCAAGGCTATTCCTCTTCGTTTTATTATTTTAGGCATAAAGGACTACAATGGCCATAATATTGCAAGAATGGCGGAAGTATGGATGGACATGTATAAGGAGAACTTCTACCTCGCACGTGGAGATCTGAAAGTAAGCACTCTTAAATGCAAACTTATTTAGTTGGATCGACTAGCGGCTAAGATTTCTAGTTTTTTTCTTTAACTTCACCTCATGCTTATCTTCCATCGTTCGTCACGAAATCAATAGAATGAAGAGAAAAAAATAGGTTGTAAGAAGTATATTTATTAGTGCAAATCCTCTTGACGAGAGAAATGAAGTGTATTGGTGTTTGCAGTGGCTATCGTGGGTGCATCGCAAGGTAGACACGAAAAACGACGATGCATGAAATGTGGTTTCACAGAGAGGGTTTATAAACTTTGAGACTCTGAGTCAGGCAACCGCATGCACTCGATCAGTCGGGACGCACTGTTTCGGCGAGTGAACAGCATCGAGTTTCCAGTATTTGGGTGCAGTTCGGGTAATATGATCACAGGTCATGAGTGCTACACTGAGTCTTATGTGACGAAGTGAATAGAAGGTAGGACTCACTATATGAAAATTTGGAAGTATTTGCAAAGAAATTATACATAAAAATATTCGTGACTTTGGTAATGTTCATAAATATTTCCTGGAAAAAAATAATATAGATGAAACGTTTAAGCTTAGAGAAATCGTAATAATAAATAAATTTTATCAAAATGACCTTCATAATTTGAAGTTTGGAGAGCATTCGGTTCCCTTGCATCGTTGTTTTGACAATTGATTTTTAAGAGGAAATATTTCACTTAAGTTTGTATTTTCGTTATCTCGCAATTCAGTTCTAGTTCGTCTGGTAACAGAAGTAAAAAATCCCCACAAAATCTTGGGTGCTGGAGTCACCCCTATCGTCAAAGTTTCAGAGCTATTATTTAAAACTAGTTCATATGATATTTTGAATTTTTAGTAATTATTTCAATTTTAACTCCTGCTAATCTCCTACGTTTCAGACTCATCTTTTGATATTTTGTCAAGTTTTTTTCCCTTAAAGTTTTAAACCTTCTTAGTTTAAATAAACCCAACTCTCCGATACTCATGGAGCAATTTGCTTTTATTTCAAACCTTTATCCACTTTTAGTCTAAATTGAAAGCCGTGGGTATTAAAACTTCGAAATGTGTTTCATCTTGTTTGCTTGTGCTGTCTCAAATGACAAACCATACTTTGTCGCACTTTGGCTCTTGCAGTTAATAACATGTGTGTGTCTGCAGCTGTTAGTCGGCTCAATTCGATTTTCGACGCTTATTTCAACTGCAGTTCGATAATAATGAGGTAGAAATAAGTCGAATTAAAGTCTTTGCCAGTATCTGAAGGATTTTTCAAATTTCTAGAGATAATATTGAAAGCAAGCTTTAAGATTTTTGCCTTTCTTCTGGAGACTCCTAAATTTTAGAAGAAAGACCTTTTAGCCGAAATTTTAAAAAAAATTTACAATTTTTGTTAATTAATCAAACAATTCACCGTCTCAAACTTCACGCTTGTGTGTCTAGGGGCTGTTTGAGTTGATATTCCCTTTTTTACTTATTAATTTATTGATTTGGTTGTTAAAGTAGAATATTAGAGCACATATAACATTAGGTTTTGCCTGAAATTAGAAATTTAGGTAAATGTTGCCTTGTAATTGCTTAGACTTCATTGCGCCCCAAGATAGAAGCTATGGCTGTACGTTCCGAATTACAGTGCTTGGCAGTTTTGGCATTAATCAGACCATTGAAGGTCAATCGCCATCTTTGTACCTGAACAGGAGATTTTCGAACTTCACAATGAACTAATGTGCTAATACATTCGTGGACATTAGATTAATTGGGTATCTGATTAATGTTACTTTATGCCTACAATTGTAGAGTCTGTGATATGTTATCAAGTGTTAAAGGGCAGTATTGAAGACATCAAGAAACCTTCACTTCCACATGAATACGTATTCTTTCTCCGCCCGAATGAATTTAACTGATTTTTAGAAATATTAATCTTCCCTCACGTGTATTTGTTCATAAAGTAACTTTGAGAATAAATTTAATTGAACAAAGTGCAACCCCCCATCACTACACCAGCTCATGCAGAAACTTTACCTTTCAGGATTGAAAAATCCAAACCCTGTTGACGGAACTTTTATCTCTTTCAACCCATTTTCGATAATAGTCAAGCTGCCTATTCTACTCTAATTAACATTATATAATCGGAAAAAGAGAAATTCATGAACCCGTGCCAGGGTTGTGTCGAGGTAAGTTAAGGAGAATACGCTAGCAGACACCTTGGCAAGTGCATATGGGAGCTACATTTTTGCAATTTTTTTATTGCCTGCATTTAGAGCATCTTTCGTTCCCCTAATTAGATCTGACCTCTTTAACGCCAAATAAGAGGTAGGTCAAGGCATAAATTTTGAATGGCAAATGGGTTATGCGGCTGTTTGGTACGCTATGATTGCGGGACATGAGTAGCTAAACTGTTGCGTATTTGGTCAGTGTATTTAATCAATAAATAAATTAAATAAAGCTAAGAATATGTCATTCAATATTGAGTTCGGAAGAAGTAGAGAAAAGTGCCAGCTAAATATTTTGATCCTGAGATAAGAACATCTTCTCCGAGATCGGGTTTCGCGTTTGGCAATTTATCATCGAGACATTTATTTATACCAAATGGAAGGCGTTTTGAAAGTTAACATTAGTCCTTGAGCTGACTTCGGAGCTTCACAGAGAGGAGAAGGAACATCAAAGTGACAAAAACGTCGAGATGGGAGACAGAAAAATGATTCACAGAGGTAAAAGAGACAGACAGTCACAAAGGCATAAAAAAGGTAAGATGAGTACTGTGAAAGGGGTCGAATAGGACAAATAGTCGGGCCATAGAAGTCAGAAGTCAATTGACGATCAATTGACTTTTCTGCCTTATGAGTATGCGTTGCCCTGTGTGCACCACGTGGAGGTAAGTCTATCGCACACCCCGTCCTCGAGATATTGTTGGCTTTTAATCTTTGAGGATACTTTCTTCCGATAATTTCCAACTTTGAAGCTGCTTTGGAGCGTAATCTGTATCGCGTGCCAGTTGTTAAGAAATGA